ATTTAGTAAGTTTCCAGTATCACTTAGCCACATGTGCCTGGCATGTTTGTTCTTGACTGTTTCTTCACATTTTTTATCAAACCATATCTATCCAGGTTTGGTCAAGGTTTTTTCCAATGGCTTCTTTAACATTTCAGTTTTACATTTTAATTTATTTGCAAATGTCTCTGAGATTGATGTTTGTTGAAGTCTTTCTCTGTTCTCCAGATGTGGTCTTTGCAACTTAATGTAGAAGAATCTCTTAAACTTTTTTTGTAATTTTTCACTAATCAGGAAGTGATCACAAGGCACTCAGCTTCTTTAGCTTACAACTTGTATGCTAGATGCATTTCTATTATTTATTAAAGTTGAATCTATTTGATTATATCTTATCATGTCAAAGGATTCCTAGGTTTCTTTATGAATATCTTTTCTATGAAACCTGGTGCTGCTTTTCTTGAGTCCTTTGGCTACTGTAAGGTTGATTAATCTCCAACCATTATCATTTAAAGTTATATATAGGCTTTCCATGCCTGCTGCATTTTGTGTGTGTATTTTTGCATTGAAATCTCCTAACACAATCAGTATATCCTGTTTTCGAGTTTCCGCTATGATATCCACAAGGAGATAATAAAAAGTTTTCTTTAATATCATCTTCTTTATCTTCATTGAGTGCATGCACATTTAAAATAAATAAAAATTAAAATACTTTCCTACAACTTTTTTTGGATGACAAATCCTATACATACTTCATGTTTGTTTTCATTGTTTCCTCCATTTTCATCTATGATATCTTAAACTGGCCACCTTATTTCTTGAATCGCTGTCACACCCGTTTCTCTAATCCAATGACTCCCGGGTCAATTCTTGAGCTCTGTAAAGGGTTCGCAAATTCCAAGTTCCATTATTAATCTCCCGTCCCCTTTTGGGTTGTATTTTTTGTTATTTTGAAGCCCCACCCTGGTTGTTGCCGGGGGCCTTAATATAACATAATGTTTAAACAGGATTTCTGGGACCTTTCCAGAGGTGACCCTTATCTGAATGGTGGCACTTTGTGTCACCGGGTGTTTATCGCTCAATGTGATATCCTTGTGGAGTAAAGTCATTCAGTCAGTCATGTTTCAAATTTAAAAGTCCTGTAAATTCCAGTGTGGTTCTCTGTTTGAATCCATCTGAAATTAAGGCTAAGATATCTGTTTCCTGACAATATAAGGTTTTACAAAGGTGGGATTTTGCCCCTATGCTTCAATCCCCAGCCTGGAGAACCAGGTTGTCTCCCTTTGTCTGTTCCCTACCCTTTGATCTGTCCGACTTGGGAGACCCTGCTGGAAGCTATGCTACCGCTGGAATAGCTCTCAAGGTTATTGAGAATTGCAGGCTCTTCCACTTCAGCAAGTGTGAAAACACCTTCAGGGGAAGCATAATAATGGTAGCCAGAAAAATTAAAATCTTATATTAAACTTTCAATATTTAATACAAATGTGAAATCCTTACTGTTTTATGAATCAGAAACACATAGACAAACTAAAACAGTATTAATCATCTACAAATATGGATTATTTGGTTTTGGCTTCAAATACTGCAACAACTTTCATTTTTCTTAGAAAATAACATCAGATGGAATTGTGGAATGGTCTGTTATGTGCTTTCAAGGAGCCTATCATTGGGACATGGCAGATGGACAGAATATAGTGCAGGAAGTCACTCAGGTTGGCAAACGCTGTCTGTCTTCTCTGTTGAACTGGTGGCAGTTAATTGCTATAGGACAACCGCAAGTAGCTGACCAACAGGGGACAAGCAGCATCAATATCCTTTAGTTTGTCCTGAGAACTGAGTACTTGCATGTTTGTTCTAGGTAGAGTGATGTCAGTTCTTCATTATAGTCTGAATTATACATTCCATTGGTCAATACATAAACAACACCGTATACATTTATTTATACAGATGTGAGTAACAGATTATATCCCACCTGAGTACAGAAACCTTGTTTTATTTTGAAAGCTTAAAACTAACATGATTTTTTATATTCTATATCTCTTTCACTTACTCTATTTCTCTCTCCTCTATTTCTCTCTCTTGCTCCTCTTTCCCTTTGCAGTCTTTTCTCTGTCTCTCTTTTTCTTCTTTCTTGTGTCTCTCCCGCTATTATTTCCTCTCCTTTCCATCTCTGTCTTGCTCCTTTCTCCTTCAGTCTCCGCTTTGTCTCTGATTCTGAGAATTGTGATGCATTTATTAAATATATCACAATGAATCATAATAACACTTAAACAAAGAATCACTTCAATAAACTGTTTTCATTTTTATTTATTATGCCTATTACTTGCCATTCTTTTTGGACCATTCTTCTTTAGAAAGTTAAGAAGCAGAGTGTCATGTTGAATTTGTTATGTAATATACAAAATTTGTTGAACCACATTCCTGTACAAATATAACTGGCTCTCTCATCAACATTTTCTCCCAATGTGGTCCCAGTATGGTCCCAGCGTGGTCCACCTGTTTTTGTTGGGCAACAAAAAGAATAGAGTCACTGCCCTTTAAGGAGCATTTAGTAAAATTGACTGATTTATTGATTGCTGAAATGGATTATGTTGGATGAAAGGACTGGATATTGCAGTCTACCTGTACACCACAAAATGATATGCCAACCACCCTTTTGACAATTATTGAAATAGAAGTTAACAAGATAAATGCATACCTTTTACAGGATGTCACAAACCAATCCAAACATTTGTTGGCTGTTCAGTTTTACTAGGCAATTTTTTATTTAGTAGTTTGCCATTGCTATTTTAATGGTAAACATTCAACCCATTGTTGAAATCAGTGCACAGCAATCTGCTGCTAAATAATTTGTGGCTGAATAGAACAATGAATATGAATATCCCCAACAAGCACACAGCTAGACACACATATATACACCTCTTGTTTCAGGTAACATGAATCTTTATGACATAGTGGTTGAGTTGTTTGCCATACACTCTGGAGGCATAGCTCTGAATTGTGTTGCTCAGTTTAGAAATGGAATTTTCTTATATTTGTAGGTCATTGCTGGAGCCTTGGAATTTGTGCGCTTTGTGGCAGTCTCAGCAGGTAGCCAGCCTCTCTGTGGGGGAGAGCTGGAACCATCTGGAATCAGACTTAGTGCAACAAAGTTGATCCTCTTCTATATTCTTTACAGTATACAAACACCACAGCTGTATATATTAAAACACTCAGTAATATGAACAGATAAGTATTTTTAAAAAAATACAACAAAATGAAAAGAATGCCATCAGTGACTAAATTGTATACATTTCTAATTTACAGATCCTTATTTGAGAATCAAAGAAGCATTCAACAACATTTTTTTAATGTGATTATCTTGAGTTAAATGTATAAACCTCTCTTTTTTTTTAAATGGAGCATTATTTTTCTCCCAGTTGCAACGCCAGAAGGATACGTGCACCAGCAAATCGACTCTCTTGTACAGATTTAATAAATGAAATAAAAAAACACAAGTCAAGTGATGTGTGTGTGTGTGGGTTGTCTGTGAAATCAGTTTGTGTTGATAGTGTTGTTTCATCATAAAGTGATGTGTGTGGGTTGTCTGTGAAATCAGTTTGTGTTGATAGTGTTGTTTCATCATTACATGACCAAGCAGTGTTGAGCTTGATCTAAGTTAATGAACGAGGAGTTTTATATTTGGGGTCTCCATGGTGAAGCTGTCAAGTCGTTTGCCTCATGTTTTGAAAGTCATGGGTTTTTTCCATGGCTGCATCATTTGGTTTGTGAGTGCAATTTGTATAGAGAACCCTGGGGATCGTTGCCAAAGCTATGGTGACAAATGCTTTTAGCAGGTGGCTAGCTGTTGTGTGGACAGAGACTGAGCTAGATGGGATAAAACTCAGTGCATTGAGGTTAATCCTCCTTTTTACCTGTATGCAGCCTGCTCCAAGTTAATGAACTAAGACATATGCTTTATATTAACAGGCAAGCAGAAACATGGACACAAGAGGCATATACTCTGTAGTAAAAAACTGTTACTTCTTTTCCAGTACCCTTTGATTTTGTCCTTTCAGTGTTAGGTCAAGAATAGACAGCCTCATATATTCACTAGTGCAGCGGGTCACAACCTTTTTTTTTGGGTTAAATGATCCTTTCATGAGAATTGCCTTAGGCAAATGTAGTCTTTCCAGTGATATGCCCAAAGAATGTAGACAGTCTCGTTTTAGTGTGAGTAATTAGCTCTCTCTTTATCTCCCAGTGATATGCCCAAAGAATGTAGACAGTCTCGTTTTAGTGTGGGTAATAAGCTCTCTCTTTTTCTCCCAGTGATATGCCCAAAGAATGTAGACAGTCTCGTTTTAGTGCGGGTAATTAGCTCTCTCTTTTTCTCCCAGTGATATGCCCAAAGAATGTAGACAGTCTCGTTTGAGTGTGGGTAATTAGCTCTCTCTTTTTCTCCCAGTGATATGCCCAAAGAATGTAGACAGTCTCGTTTTAGTGCGGGTAATTAGTTCTCTCTTTTTCTCCCAGTGATATGCCCAAAGAATGTAGACAGTCTCGTTTTAGTGTGGGTAATTAGTTCTCTCTTTTTCTCCCAGTGATATGCCCAAAGAATGTAGACAGTCTCGTTTTAGTGTGAGTAATCAGTTCTTTTTATGAGATAAATAATTTGAAGACATCCTCATTACACTGTTTATCTGTCAAGGTGTTCTCACCATTCTTCTACAAACCTTATCTCCATAGGTTCCACATAACTGTTTACTAGTCAGCAAAGTGTCCATGAATTACTTTCATATGTCAGAATTGACTGTATATAGTAACCAATAATGATGGGTCTAGATTTCAAGCATAAAACAACGCCAGGTAAAATACATTACACATTTATAAGATTACTCAAATATCGTGAAGTAATGCGGCTTGAGTATTTTTGTCTAAAAACATGATAGGGCCACTGTCTTTCTTTTACCAGATTAAAATGGTTCTGATGCCAAGTAAGCATTACAGTCAAAGACTGTCTGAATGAGTTCACTACTCGTGATCTATGTGGTAATTTTGTCGTCACCCCAGGCCATCTGTGAATGTGAAGTTGTGGATGTTGGCCGGCTAGTATCTAGTCCATTTGTACTTAGAACTGTGTTCTTAGTGACGTCAGGCAAGTTCTTGGTGCTGGCCTGGGTCAGGGATCGCAGAGGTCTCTCCGTGCTCAACAGCCAGAATGTTTCCATCTGTCCTTTACCCTGGCAAATAGAAGCAGATGTGGTGTATGTATCTTTTCGAAGAAATGTATAGGGGTATGTGGTCATCATCATCATCATCATCATCGTTAACTCTTTAAAGTCCCAAAAGATCATAGTTGATGCTTCAGCCAGGCAATGATAACAACAAATGCATAGGTGTAATAGTAATAATCATTATCATCTCCTTCTTCTCCTCCTCCCCCTCCCCATCATCTTTGGCCAGGTTATATTTTCTTCTCATAGTCCAGAAGTCAGATGAACAAACTAGAGCGCACACAGAACACAGCTATGCGGGTCATTCTGGGTTGCACCAGAGACACACCAGTGGTGTGTATGCAATACATCATTGGTTTACTGACTGTGGCAGGTAGGCACAAGGTGCTGCAGGTGAAGTCATATCTCAAAGTAGCTGCAGACAGAGATCACCATTTGCACGAAGCTCTGGGCGCAGTAAAGGGTTAGAGGCTGATAAGAGGGAAGTCATAGATGGCTCAGGCAGAAGACACAATCAGACAGGTTTGCATCCTTGAGAACATTAGGCGAGAAGAGGAGTGTGTCAAAGTGCACCTGAACAGTCATATGGGAATGCCCTGAGTGCTGTGATGTCAGTTCATAAATTAACTCAACTCAATTTTCATAGACCAGATGGCCCTTTTTCTCAGAGTGCGATTTTATTGAATTCTGCAGAACTTCTTCCTTTGACAGATGTTGTTAAGGAAAGAAACAGCTGAGTGCCTTGTCTACACTGAAGAACAGCTGTTCTGGAGATGTCCTAGATTTCCTTATATCAGGTTACAGGAGTAAAAAGATCAGAGTGGCTAGTGTTTCTGCCAGCTAGTCAGGGGCTTGAGTACACTCTAAGGCAGTGATCTTTGTTTTGTTTTGGGAATTAGGGATTCCTGGTTAACCCAGCCTAAATAAATACTGAGATTTATGTCTTGGAAGTAAAGGTATAAATCTCCCAAATCAGCCAGTGAGTGCTGACTGATCACAAATATGGGCCTAGCGCCATGAACCCAACGTGTCACATGGTTGTGAGAAGAAGAAGAGAGAGGTGATGTGGTCAACACTGCACCTTCCATCTTACAGGACATTTCCTGGTACCCAGTTTAGGCTACAGTATAAATGTACAAGTATACTGTTGAAAAAAAAAAGCTTATTTGATGGCATGATTTTATTAGTTGACAGAAAAGTCTCTACACCTAAAAACTAAAAATGATCCTAACGCAAAAGAGCTGTTAACTGTTAAATTAAATCAAAAGATATATTTGTTTGCTATCTGAACATTACACATGTTTTGTATGTCAAAATTATGACAAAAACAATGGCATTTTAGTTGCTATGCATTTCTTTTTTTGAGTGGTATAGATAATTGAGACCAAATGTTCACGTGTAAATAAGGTACCTTGACTTCTACAAGTCCTCGTCTCTCAGTGGTAAAGCCTCTCAGTTTCATTAGTAGGGTATTGGTGGAGACACTTATGTGGATACGATTGGCTGAAATGTAAAATACAATGTTACTGTTTCATTGGCTGAAATGTTAAAAACATGAGATTGTTTCATTGGCTGCAATATGTGTTACAAAAAAAGTATTATTTCACTGGCTAGTTTCATTGGCTGAGACATGTGTTACATAAAGTTATTATTTCACTGGCTAAATACCTTTAGCAAATACAGGACAACTGTTATGTGTACATTGAAACAGTAGACTTTGTGATGTGTGTTTCAGTCAAAAGATTATTTATTTTTTATTTTATCCATCATCATCAGTTTCTAATTTTGTCATTAAGAAGTGGAGAAGAACAGTTTGGGACCCATTGCTTGATGGGCAGCAATGGCTATTGTCATTCCTTGTCGATATAAAAACTCTTTAATGCCATCAATCCATATTCTTCTGGGGTGGCCTCTTGCTTTCACTTCAGATCTTTTTGTTTATAGCGCCTGTGTTGGTATTTGTTTTTGTGTATAGCGCCTGTATTGGTATTTGTTTTTGTGTATAGCGCCTGTGTTGGTATTTGTTTTTGTGTATAGCGCCTGTGTTGGTATTTGTTTTTGTGTATAGCGCCTGTATTGGTATTTGTTTTTGTGTATAGCGCCTGTGTTGGTATTTGTTTTTGTGTATAGCGCCTGTGTTGGTATTTGTTTTTGTGTATAGCGCCTGTGTTGGTATTTGTTTTTGTGTCTAGCGCCTGTGTTGGTATTTGTTTTTGTGTATAGCGCCTGTGTTGGTATTTGTTTTTGTGTATAGCGCCTGTGTTGGTATTTGTTTTTGTGTATAGTGCCTGTGTTGGTATTTGTTTTTGTGTATAGCGCCTGTGTTGGTATTTGTTTTTGTGTATAGCGCCTGTTTTGGTATTTGTTTTTGTGTTTAGCGCCTGTGTTGGTATTTGCTTTTGTGTATAGCGCCTGTGTTGGTATCTGTTTTTGTGTATAGTGCCTGTGTTGGTATCTGTTTTTGTGTTTAGCGCCTGTGTTGGTATTTGCTTTTGTGTATAGCGCCTGTGTTGGTATCTGTTTTTGTGTATAGCGCCTGTGTTGGTATATGTTTTTGTGTATAGCGCCTGTGTTGGTATCTGTTTTTGTGTATAGTGCCTGTGTTGGTATTTGTTTTTGTGTATAGCGCCTGTGTTGGTATTTGTTTTTGTGTATAGTGCCTGTGTTGGTATTTGTTTTTGTGTATAGCGCCTGTGTTGGTATTTGTTTTTGTGTTTAGCGCCTGTGTTGGTATTTGCTTTTGTGTATAGCGCCTGTGTTGGTATTTGTTTTTGTGTATAGCGCCTGTGTTGGTATTTGTTTTTGTGTATAGTGCCTGTGTTGGTATCTGTTTTTGTGTATAGCGCCTGTGTTGGTATTTGTTTTTGTGTTTAGCGCCTGTGTTGGTATTTGCTTTTGTGTATAGCGCCTGTGTTGGTATCTGTTTTTGTGTATAGCGCCTGTGTTGGTATCTGTTTTTGTGTATAGCGCCTGTGTTGGTATCTGTTTTTGTGTATAGCGCCTGTGTTGGTATCTGTTTTTGTGTATAGCGCCTGTGTTGGTATTTGTTTTTGTGTATTGCGCCTGTGTTGGTATTTGTTTTTGTGTATAGCGCCTGTGTTGGTATTTAATTTTCTGTATAGCGCCTGTGTTGGTATTTGTTTTTGTGTATAGCACCTGTGTTGGTATTTGTTTTTGTGTAAAGCACCTGTGTTGGTATTTGTTTTTCTGGATAGCGGCTGTGTTGGTATTTGTTTTTCTGTATAGCACCTGTGTTGGTATTTGTTTTTGTGTATAGCGCCTGTGTTGGTATTTAATTTTGTGTATAGCACCTGTGTTGGTATTTGTTTTTGTGTATAGCACCTGTGTTGGTATTTGTTTTTGTGTATAGCGCCTGTGTTGGTATTTGTTTTTCTGGATAGCGGCTGTGTTGTTTTGTTTTTTCTGTATTTGTTATTTTTTTGTGTATAGCACCTGTGTTGGTATTTGTTTTTGTGTATAGCACCTGTGTTGGTATTTGTTTTTGTGTATAGCACCTGTGTTGGTATTTGTTTTTGTGTATAGCACCTGTGTTGGTATTTGTTTTTGTGTATAGCGCCTGTGTTGGTATTTAATTTTTGTATTGTGGTGGTATTGTATAGCACCTGTGTTGGTATTTGTTTTTGTGTATAGCGCCTGTGTTGGTATTTGTTTTTGTGTATAGCGCCTGTGTTGGTATTTGTTTTTGTGTATAGCGCCTGTGTTGGTATTTGTTTTTGTGTATAGCGCCTGTGTTGGTATTTGTTTTTGTGTATAGCGCCTGTGTTGGTATTTGTTTTTGTGTATAGCGCCTGTGTTTGTCGGGCTCAGTTTAATTTTCATGCCGGGGGGAATGCAGACATCCCAAGGAAATGGCAAGCTGGCAGGTAAAACCCAATGTAAAGGGTGGACGAGTTTGTGAAACCATGCTGATGGGGAATATAGAATGAAAAAGGTAAGAAAATTTTTTAAAAATCAAGTGCCTGAATCCAAAACCCCATGCCCAAAGGAATTCAAGAACAGGAATTAAAAGGGGTTTGTCCCAAAGTCGGGGCATTGTGCTTGAACCCAAAAAAAAAACAAAAAAAAAAGAATAAAAACCCGACAAAAGAGCAGGTGTTGCTACCCTTTTATACTGCGAGGATTTTCCCAGGAGGGGCTCTGAGAAACTTAGGGGACTGTTTGGGTTCAATGTGAAAAATGGGATTTTTTTGTTAAAAAATTAACAAAACTGACTTTTACAAGGGGGAAGTTTCAAACAAAGCCCCTTAGCCCCTTTAACAGTAGTCAAAAATTTTTTTAATCCCTTAATATTCTGATTTTAAAGTCACAGGAAATGAGAAAAAATTTTAAGGGGCCTTTGGTTTTATATACGAATAGACCCCAAATCCACTTCCCCACAAGGGTTTGTTATGGTGGGGGGCGGGTTTAAATACTCCTGCCCTCGTTTCTGATCTTTTTCATTTTTGGGATTCAACGTGGAAAATGAAAAACCCCGCCCCGCAGAGAGCCCTTCTCAGAGAGCAAAATGATTTTTCAGGGAAGGGTGGGTTTATACCTAACCCCGCAGTTCCCCCCCCCAAAAAACTACAAACAATCTTTCACTATCGAGCACTCGAATTTCTTTGTATGGGGTTTTCCAGTCAAATGATCTGACCCATTTTTAAAGCGAAGAGCATTTGAGTTCGGTTCCCTGAGAGCCCCTTTATTTATGTACCCCAAAGGCCTTTTTCCACAACCCCAATCCACCTTTAACCCGGACTGCAATATGAAATTATGATGGCTGGGAATCATCGTCAGATTTCCCTTTAAATTTTTANAAAGGGTACAATCCCCCAATCCCAGTGATGCGGGACTGTCACAATGGGCCTGCGCCAGAACCCAAACATGTCACGGTTTTGGGAAGAAGAAGAAGAAGGGGTGATGGGGTAAACACTGCCCTCCCATCTTACTGACTTTGTGGTACCCTTTAGGCTACAGTTAAATGTCAAGTAACTGTTAAAAAAAAAAAGCTTTTCGGGGCTGATTTTATTTTTGACAAAAAAGCCTCTACACCTAAAAACAAAAAATGATCCTAATGAAAAAGAGCGTTAATGTTAATTAAATAAAAAAATTTTTGGCTACTGACTTACCATTTTTTGTATGTCAAAATTATGACAAAAAAAGGCATTTTAGTTGCTATCTTTTCTTTTTTTTGGGGGTATAGTAATTGAGCCAAAATGTTCACATGTAAAAAAGGGCCTTGATTTCAAATCTGTCTCTTTTGGTGAACCCTTCAGTTTCTTGTGGGTTTTGGGGGAGACCTTAGGGTCATTGCTGATGTTTTGTGTGTATAGCACCTGGTGTTGGTATTTTTTTTGTTGTGTGTATAGCCCTTTTGTTGGTAATTTGTTTTTGTGTATAGCACCTGTGTTTAGTATTTGTTTTTTTTGTGTATATCCGCATGTGTTGTGGTTTGTTTTTGTGTAAAGCTGCCTTTGTTGTGTTTTTGGTGTAGCGCCTGTTTGTATTTGTTTTTGTGTATAGCACCTGTGTTGGTATTTGTTTTTGTGTATAGCACCTGTTGGTATTGTTAATTTTCCGAATATTTGTATTTGTTTTTGTGTTTACGCCTGTGTTGGTATTTGTTTTTGTGTTTTAGCGCCTGTGTTGGTATTTGTTTTTGTGTATAGCGCCTGTGTTGGTATCTGTTTTTTGTGTATAGCACCTGTGTTGGTATTTGTTTTTGTGTAAAGCGCCTGTGTTTGGTATCTGTTTTTGTGTATAGCGCCTGTGTTGGTATCTGTTTTTGTGTCTAGCGCCTGTGTTGGTATTTTGTTTTGTGTATAGCGCCTGTGTTGGTATTTGTTTTTGTGTATAGCACCTGTGTTGGTATTTGTTTTTGTGTTTAGCGCCTGTGTTGGTATTTGTTCTGGCTGTCTGGCTCAGTTTAACTTTCATGCCAGGGGATGCAGACATGCAAGGAAATTAGCAAGCTGGCAGGCTTGCAGGTAAAGCTAATGTAAAAGGTGGACGAGCTGTGAACCATGCTGATAGTGAATATAGCATGAGAAGTAAGACATTTTTAAGAATCAAATGACTGAATCCACAACCATGACCAGAATTCAAGAACAGGAATTAAAAGAGGTGTGGCCAGTCGAGCATTGTGCATGAAGCCAAAAAAAAACAAAAAAAGAATAATAAAAACCGACACAGAGCAGGTGTTGCTAGCCACTGTATACTGCGAGATTTTCCCAGGAGGGGCTCTGAGCACTTATGGACTGATTGGTTCAATGTGCAATGTGGATAATTTGTTGAAAATTAACTAACTGACGTTTACAAGAGAAATTCAAACAAAGTACCTTATGCACCTAAACAGTAGTCTAAATATTAATGCTTAATATTCTGACTTTAGTCACAGGCATGAGAGAAAGTTAAGGCCATTGAGTATATACAAGACTAGACTCCTATCCACTTCCCCACAATGGTGTGATGGTGAGGGCTGGTGATACTCCTGACCTCTGCTCTGATCTGTCATGTTGGATTCAACGATGGAGAATGAAGACCCCTCCTGCAGAGAGTCTTCTCAGAGAGCACATGAGTTTCAGGGAACGTCAGGTATACCTAACCCCATGCAGTTCCCCACCCCAAAACTACAACAATCTTCACTATCGAGCACTCAAATTTCGTTGTATGAGAGTTCCAGTCACATTGACACTGATCAGTTTACAGCGAAGAGCACTTGAGTTCGGTTACCTGAGAGTCTGTTATTTATGTACACCAGAGCCTATCCACTAACCCAATCCACCATAACCGGACTGCAATATGACATATGATGGCTAGAATCATCGTCAGACTTTACCTATAATTTTATACACATCAACATGATATGCCTAACCCGCTCTTATTTCAGGAAGACAACTATAACACCACTATGGTCACACGCGAAATTGTTTCATAATTTTGGCTTATCCAAACCCAAAAACTGTTTTGAGTTATTTTTGGCAAGTAATACATTCAAAATCTTAAAACTATTAATGGTGGTCCAAAGGACGTTCTGTAGATGTGGAAAGCTCACTATCCTACTAGGTACGTCTGGCCAAATTAGGAAGAACATGACCCAAGAGGAAACAGGATTATACGGGATGGCGAAACACAATTGGACATCAGAAAGGATTGTGCAGGCAGACTGAGAGGACGAAGGATTTAGTCAGAATGTTAAATTAAGAATTGACATCACAGCACTCGGGACACCCCTATAAGCACTCCATGCCCATCTTCAGCAGCAAGTGAAGAGTAAAAATTCCTAAAATATCCAAAGGATGCTAACTACTGGGGACCTTTGAAGTGATGCTTGCCACTCTGCAGGGAGCATGCCTGTCTCCACCTTTCTCAACATGCTCTGTGAGTCAGTTACAATGACGGCCATGTGTGTACAGCTGATTCTCAAGCCAGCGGAAGGCAGCAGTGACTGCCTCCACCTCCAGTCTCAAACTAGACGTGATATCATATGCCAGGCTTTGTTGCTCCAAGTGACGTCCATTTTCCTTCACTATGAACCACCATGCACTTTATTTGCCCCTCAACACAGAGGCATCTGTATAGACAATCATATCACCTGGACGGGAATTATTATGAATCATCTGTTGAACTTCTGATTCTGCAGCACTATCTGGCCAGTCCACGACCAGCTCCCATCCCTGCACTCACGTCCCAAAGTGATTTTAACCCTACACTAATCTGAAACCTGATCGGACACTCTGACCCACTCCTCTTCTCGTCTAAATTTATCAAACCTGCACACATGTCCAATTTTGTCTTCAGGATTTAGCCAGACAGTTAGCGCAAATATAAGAACAAAAGCCACAAAAGTCGGGCAAATGAACCAGACCATGAATATAGCCTAATCAGAGACTGTTGGCTAGCTAGCAGCAGGCTGAGAGTGGTTGCGTTTTTCATTTTTTTGTAAATGGACTTGGACTACCACATTTCAGGCACCAGCTTGCTCTGTGCTGGTTTTACGAACCCTCACGCAAGACTCCTGCTGTATGTCCCCATCGTGTGCCAAGGGTAATGGCTTAAATGAGCATAAACTGAGCTATAAGGGGATCTTGGAGTGCCCCCCCCCCCCAACCCTGAGAGATAGGGTGCCCTGAAATACTCTTGCTCTCATCAGTCCATCTCCAATGCGTGGGTGAAAACATCTATAAAAACTCATTTGAAACATGAGTAAAGCCCACTAATCTAATATACTGCCAAATGACAACCTTCCGTTAAAACATCAGTCGAGTGGAAGAACTACTAAACTGCTGAGATTCAGCCCTAGATTAAGAGATTTGTTTGCAGCTTGGACAAATGTCTCCTGAAGGTGGTATCTTACGGTACAGTCCTGTCTCCATTCATCCTGTGTCGACCCTTAATGTTGTCATCACCATGATGAGATACACCTCGACAATCTGCAACTGTCAGTCAGCTGATTAGGCTCAAACTTCCATCAGATACATGTCCTATGGCATAACAGCAATCTTAAATGTCAGAACATTAAAAGTCCTACTATTTGGCAGAAAGGTTCAGATATCCATTATCATTGACCCCAATCATCAGTGTATCAGAACCAAACGGGAAGCCATGCCTAGCTATGCTTGCCCCACACTATTGTGTTGAGGGCCTTGATTAGAGGTGTCTCATTTGCTGAAGAAGAATGTACCTATTTGTGTGGTTATCGAAGTCTGGGACCTACTGACTGCTCCCTGCTGATCTCTGGAGGGGCAGCTCATGACGAGTAGGAAGGTCAATATATTCATATAATGTGAAGCAGTTATATATAGTGATGATTCCTTGAGTGAGTTCAGGACAAAAGTGTCAAGTGTTGGCTGGGCATGGTGGGTAGTGCCCATAATCTGTCCAATGTCTTCCCTTGAGGGTTGACCAGTCTACCCATGTTTGACCTGGAAGGATTCTTCAGGGGCAGCACCTGTAGATAAGGTGGCAAAGATAACATCACACAAATGAGGCTACGTTGTGTCTCATAAAATTATCTGGGAAGTTAACGCTTGATGAAACTGGATATGTCAACCAAAAGGAGCAAATATCACAGCTTTGCTGTAAACAGGCACAACACAGTTACGTTACTCACACAAATGAAAAGAAGAAGAAATAATATTAAGAACACAATGTGAGAAGGAGCACATGCCATGGAATGTAAAAATACTCGAAAAATGCAAAATATCATCCTAGTGAAGAACATTGCTGAAAAAAACACACAAGCTGGTCATGGTTGATAACTTACGCAGGCCGTGAGACTCCATGCGACTAGCTGTATTTACGGTGTCCCCAAACAAGCAGTACCGAGGCATCTTGTTGCCAACAACCCCTGCTACCGCAGAACCTAATTAGACAAGCAATATGAAAAAAACAGTGTGACTTGATGCTTGAAAGTCTGCACAATCAGCTTCCAAAAATGGCTAAGAAATGCACTTGTGTGTCATGGTGGTTCAATGCTACCACTTTTCCTTGCACAATCCCCTTTATGTTCCAGGGAAAAAGAAATAGACCTGTTGCCCCCAAGCATGTATAAAAGGCCACTAATTTTGAATCTGATGAAATTGAATTAATTGGACCAAAAAGGGCAGATACCACATCCTAGCCGCAAAACATAGTAGATCAACCCCACCCTTTTAGAGGTGAATGTTAAAAAAGATTCGAAGACCTGTTTACAAAACATCCCTTGCCCTTTGTGGGTTCCATGGCCTTATTTTGGGCAAACATGAATAGTCCCACTGTCCTACCTAACAAGCTTATTGTCACTGTCAACTAATGAGGGACTGTTTCCTTCTAAATCAGAGTGCATTTGCATGACAGTTTAGGAGCCAATAGTCTGCTTATAAATATACAAATAAGCCAGATCTGCAAAACAGATGTGCACAGAAAACATAAGTTCTGAAACAAGGCCAAATGCCAGAAGTGGACGGACAACTAAAATGTTCTGCTTGAGTTTACAGCTGGTAAACAGAAAGAAAATCCTGTAATTTAGCATGCATATATTAAATTACTGGAATAGCATCTTTCTCGCTGTATAGTTCTCTTCCTTCTCCCTCTTTCTGTCTTATGCAATCAGAGTCATACTCAAACATTGTTCAGGATTGGCATTTTTAGTGAAGTACATAGGTCACAACACTGACAGCTCACTGTTTCATATGCAATGGCTGCTTTCAGTTTGAGGAATGATGAAGTCAGTCTCTGCAATGTTTCACTAACTTTCTGACACTTCATACACGGAAGTCACTATCAGATCTGGTTCACACTGTGTGCAATGCCTATTGTGTGTGTTTTATTTGAAAGTTCCATCATGTGTATCATGTATAAAAGTCACATCATGTGTCTTTTACTGAAAGATCCTTCACGTGTATCTATGATTGAAGGACCCATCATGTTTGTCTATAAATGAAGGATTAATCATGTTTGTCTATAAATGAAGGATCCTTCATGTGTGTCTTCATGTTTGGTGGCGCAAGGTGGCAAGCTTATTTGTTTCGAGATGGTGACACTGGTGGATGCCTTGGGGCTCTCAAAGACGGCACGCTGGTCAGATTCACAGCAAGGAAATGGCAAAAGGCTGCACTGACAGGTGGCAGAAATAAAGGCGTATGGATACGCCACAATGGATAAAAAAAACTATTGGAAATCCCAAACAAGTAAACACAGTCCCAAAATAACCGCTGCTCACACTCGGAGCTGGTTAGGGTGACTAGAACTTTTATTTTTTTACGAACAAACTGGAACTGGTGTGTCTATTATTGAAGGATTTGTCATGTGTCTCTATGATTCAGTGTCCCATCATGTGTCTAAGATAGAAAAATACATCATGTGTATTGTTGCTAAAATGAATATGTAGAAGAATAGTATTTATGATGCAAATATAAACGAAATTACTGTAAAATATTCATCAATAATTTACAAATAACACAGCAGCAGACCTGAGTGACAGCCAATTCTGAGCTCTATGGATCGCTGTGGCATGTGTGGAATTGTGAAGTCTTTGGCTGTTTTTAGAAGCTCCAAAGCCATTAGAGAGATCTCTGCTACATGGGCACTGCCATTCCTGATGTATTTAAAAAAAAAAGTAGTACTTAGTGCATACAGAGTAATCATCTTCCTGCTGTGGCATCATAGGCACACAGGGCTCCACATTTAATGAAAGTAATACACAGTGCATTATTGTAACCTAGTGTAATATGGCACATTAAAAAAGTCATAGGACTAACTGAGAGCTGGGGGTGGGCATAGGTCTTCAAATTAAAGAGGTCAAACTGTTTGCTTCTTGCTCTGAAGGCCGTGGATTCATTTTATAGTCACATTGTTCAGTTCATAGGTGCTGTTTTTATGGAGATTGCTGAGGATAATCACTGGAGCTACACAGTTTGTGCTTTGTGTGATGCTGTTGACCTCTTGACCCACCTTAGTATTATAACCAGAATGTGTTTCTCTGGAAACTACAGGGGGAAAGATAGAGTAGTGAGAGAGAGAGAGAGAGAGAGAGAGAGAGAGAGAGAGAGAGAGAGAGAAGTAGAAAAGAGATAGAGAGAGAGATAGAGAGAGAGAGAGAGAGAGAGAGACGTTACATATATGGAGAAGAGAATCAGACAGAGAGGAATAATATGCATGAGGGTGTTGCAGCTGATGGTAAAGGATATGTGCCTTGGTGTTTGTTGGTAGAATGCTTATGCTCTAATAGAGAAGTGAAAGCACTTACCTGCAATTGTTCCAGGACATATGTACTCGTATTTGTCTTTCTGTGCATTTGAACATCTTAAATACCCTGGTGTAGAGATGCATCCTGTGCTATACTTTGTTCTGACTATTTTAATTTACTTCAACCCACATAGCTAATAGAAATGTTTTATTAAAATGTCTGGCTTACTATATGTTTCCATCTTTCTGCACTCAGACCATGGTGTTCACTTGTGCTATAGGAAGGCTTGGGTATAACATCCCATGGCAGTGAGGAGTGTGACTAGCCACACAGCTCAGCTTTAAAAAAATCTTCCACAATAAGTGCATAAGATTTCAGGACCATTGTTGCAGCCACAAGTATCTTCTAAAACACTCAGCTTTTACATGTCTGCAATTGCTTTCTCCTTTGCATATATTCCCATTTCAAGTTCCCCCTCATGCAGTGTGATCCATAGCATCCTGTTCCCATAAATCCAACTCAGTATCTGTATCATTCATGTCCCACTTCCAAACATCTTTAAATGGCAGTAGACCCAGATCCCATCAGCTTCTACCCTTCAGCAATTCATAACAGAGGATATCCTTTGGGATTCTACCATCTTTTATCCTCCAAAAGTCTCCTAGCAAACTGAGCATTCAGACAAATGTCTCTGACTTAGTTATATGTGTGTATTTATATGTGTGTGTGTGCGAGTGTATAGTTTGTTATCCCCACTTGGTCTAGCTCCTCCTGAGAGCACCTGATATAAAATATGGTTGGGAATATGGTTGCTATCACGCTTTTAAACATTTTCCTGTCATGTCACTTGAGTCTTGTAACATGCAGTTTGTGATAACATAAATGTTCTACAAATAACAGGCAAAAAATTGATACTAAATATATAAAGTCAATTGTGAGCGTAAATTTGATGTTTCACTTCACCAACCCACACCTGAATCAAACAGAAAGGGAAAAAACCCCATGACATTACCTGTTTGGCAATCCACTGACAACCATGTATGCATCTCCAATAGTCTCAACTTTGTAAACATCATAGTGGTCGAGGGTATCGTCAAAAAACCGGTACAGTTCATTCAAGAATGCAACAACCTTGAAAACAGTAATTAATTTTTTGTTATTAATTTTAACTATAACAATCTGGAATTTACAGATTGTAAGGAACATGTATTTGCAGCAAACAGCAGCTGTAAGAATTAATGGCCACTTTTGGAACATTTCAGAGTGTAAAGAGGTGGAGTAGGACACAGAACAGACAGTTGTGGCACCATAAACATAGCAAACAGGTATGGGACCAGAAGCAGAAAAAACTGATATGGCCCTAGATAGAGAATAAACACATGTTAATGTGGCATATGAAATGAAACAGTAGCACCAAATGGCACCAGAAAAACCCACACACAACAAACAGGTGTGGCACCAGAAACACAACAAACAGGTGTGGCACCAGAAACAGAACAAACAGGTGTGGCACCAGAAACAGAACAGGTGTGGCACCAGAAACACAATAAACAGGTGTGGCACCAGAAACAGAACATAAATAGCAGGTGTAACACCAGAAACAGAACATAAATAGCATGTGTAGCACCAGAAACAGAACATAAATAGCAGGTGTAGCACCAGAAACAGAACAAACAGGTGTGGCACCAGAAACAAGCAATAGTAACACCAGAAACAAAACAAGCAGATGGGGCACCAAAAACAAACTGAACAAGCAGGTGTAGCACAAAAACAGAAAAAACTGGTGTGGCACCAGAAACAGAACAAACAGATGTGGCACCAGAAACAGAACAAGCAGATGTGGTTCCAGTAACAGAACAAACAAATGTGGTACCAGAAACTAGAACAAACAAATGTGGCACCAGAAACAGAACAAATGGCTGTGGCACCAGAAACAGAACAAATGGGTGTGGCACCAGAAACAGAACAAATGGGTCTGGCACCAGAAACAGAACTAATAGGTGTGTCACCAGAAACAGAACAAATGGGTGTGGCACCAGAAACAGAACAAATGGGTGTGGCACCAGAAACAGAACAAATGGGTGTGGCACCAGAAACAGAACAAATGGGTGTGTCACCAGAAACAGAACAAATGGATGTGGCATCAGAAACAGAACAAATGGGTGTGGCACCAGAAACAAACAAATGTGGTACTAGAAACAAAACAAACAGATGTGCTAACAGAAACAAAACAAACAAGTGTGGTACCAGAAACAGAAAAAAACAAGTGTGACACTAGAAACAGAACAAACAGATGTGGTACCAGAAACAGAATAAACAAGTATGGCACCAGAAACAGAATGAACAAATGTGGCACTAGAAACAGAACAAACAGGTGTGGTACCAGAAACAGAATAAACAAGTATGGCGCCTGAAACAGAATGAACAAATGTGCACTAGAAACAGAACAAACAGGTAAAGCACTTGAAACTAACGTAATAAACTGGTGCAGCACCAGAGACAGAACAAACAAACTCAATCAAAAACTAATGTCAACCATTCAATTCCAACCTGTAGTGGTGTACTTGCTGCAGATATGTTTGTAAAGCCAACAATGTCACTAAAGAACAATGTCACCTGAGGATAAATGTAAGTTAAAATAAAATGAAATGGTGTGCTATGGTGCTTCATAAATTTGAATTAAACAATATTAGGTAAATGGTTAGTCATCGTGATAAAGATAAGTTAAATATAAAATGAAATAGCTGTGGCACTAATAAATCCTTTCAGAATCCAAATGAAAACAATGCAATTTAAAAAAAAAAAAAAGAAAAAGGGCTACAGGTGAACAAGAGTTAGTGCGCCACTAAACTGCCAAGACAACGACCCAAATTCAGTTAGTGGAAGTGGCTACAGTTGTTCCTACTAAGATGCCTGTGGATTTCACTGAGTCATATAATAATGGAAGACAGATAATTCACATATTTATTTAGGGCAGATAATTCACAGATTAATTTAGGAAAGGATAAGGGAGGATAGGAAAGATAAACTGTTTATGGACATACAAGGTAACAATAAGATGGAAGATGTATCGAGCCATCAGAAATAGCAAATTGTGAATATAAAGGACATACACACAGTTTATGATGCTAAACACAGAAGTCAAGAACACAGATTACACAGCTACACAAAATGGTAGTAAAAATTTAGAGAAAAACTGATGAGCAAACAACTAAAGAAAATCATCAGATTTCACAAGTTATCAGTTATTGATATATTATCCCACTTGCACTGGAGAGAATTTAGTCTAAAATGTATAAAGAATATGAGAAAAGAAAATAGTTTTTTCTGAAATATAAAAAAACTAGACAAATTCATTACTCATTACCACAAAGGAAAGACAAGTCAGAAACTAAGGAAGAACAAAGAGCTGTAACAACAAACACAGCCACAAACTACAATTACCACTTTTGTGATGTAGGTGAGGGGAAGGATGAAAAGAGAGAATCTTTGAGCCTGATGATTTAAGGCCGTATTGCAAGTGTTGTCAACCACTGACACTATAACAAATAAATTGATGAAGATAAAGGGACACTGGAATAGAGGAATTAAAAATAGCAATGCAGAAAATCAAGGTAAGAAAGAGTTAGTCAATATGCTACATAATCAGAAATTATTTGATCATTACTGCTTCTTCTCTAGACGATAGTGTTTAGAATCCAAACTAGTGTAGCACAAGATTCAGCCACACAACAGGTGAACAAAATATGAGAATCGGGACCTGGGTAGGCCCACTCCCCAGAGAGAATATTGAAGGTAAAGGAGCCAAACCATTCAAAGAAGGGGGGAAACTACATCTGATGACCAGAAGACTTCTGTTATGCTTGCTCCCATGCAGTTTTTACTACATGTGTTATCAACAGTCATGGGAAACCCTGCCAATTAGAGCCAGGTGGGAAGTTGCTCCTCTTCAAAGAACATATCATGGGCAGTACTGTAAAAAACATGTGTCTCCCATGCTGCAAGATCTCTCTCTCTCTCTCTCTCTCTCTCTCTCTCTCTCTCTCTCTCTCTCTCTCTCTCTTTCGCTATCTCTCTCTCTTGCTTGGTCTGTTTTGTTTACTCCAAAGGACAAGTAACACCAGTCCAAATAGCAGAAAGCATGCTACTGAAGCTGCCAGATAACAAAAACAGAGTTCTCTCCACCTGTCAGGGCTTCTGAAATCATTTAGTATTTAGTAACTGCCATTAATCTGTGATCAAATGGATAACTGGCACATATTATAATGTAGTCTAATGGCTTTCCCACAGTATGTGCGATCTAATGTAGATTCTGCAGTTAGAAGACCTCATCTCTTTACTCAAATGACAGTGTGAAAAAAACTGTTGAAAAAGGCCTTAAATGCATCTCTTTCTCATATCTAGAAATTGTATTTTTATAAGCTTTTTGTGGACAGGCTACAAGATTGCTTTTAAAAAAGGTCCATTTATATGTCAGTGGCACATTGGGAATATGAGACTAGACTCATTACAGACCCAGAGGCCCTAGTTGGGTGATGGGTCAACATCATGCTGACCACCTTTACTTCTCCAGACTTTACCTGGAACCAATCTGAGGTTGGACAAACTGGGTGCCAAGGTCACGCTTGAAACAAATTCTGGTTTCATGTGGATTTGAACACACAGTCTACGGATACACAGGCAAGCGTCTAGCTTCTACATCTTGCTAGCTTTCAAGAATGCTTTACAAAAGTAATAATTTTTTTAGCAGCAAGCTAGAGGTTAGGAAAATCAGCTTCACAATCTCAACGTTTAGTTGCTATATTGGGTGGCTTTCACACAGTGGTATGAAAAGTCACACAGTGGGAGAGTTTTGGGCTCACCAGATAAAATTCCCATAGTCAGCAGTGGATACATAACAACCTCCACTGAGGTGATGGCACAGTTAATCTAATTTATTTTTTTGTTTTCTTCAGTTAAAACTTTTGTCAGAATTGCTAAAATTGCCACAGTCAGCAGTCCCATCCAACTACCCAATTATTATTATTAATCCTTTCTTTTCTTTTCTTCCATCAGAATTGAAGAAGTCATGTCCGGCCATCAAGTGACAACTCTCAAAAGCTATAGAACACAAGGCTTCACTGTAAGACCTAGAAAATATAGAGCACAATTTGTTATTACGATTGCAGAAAAACCATCCTACTTGTTCATAATATTCTGCATTAACAGTTTTGTTCCTTTTCAGTTGTTGAGCCACAGACTTGGGCAGCATCTGGTACAAGAGGCTGTCAGATCTCTGCTTCTCAATGATTAGTTGTTCTGACTTCAGAGACGCTTCTATTGCATAATTCTGAAAAGATAACAAAAAAATACAATTGACAGTTTTGAACATGTATATTCTGAAGAGATTTTTTACAAATTTATTGCTGATAGCAGACTAGTTAAAATATTTGATGAGAAATACTAGCCTCATGTAAATTTGGTTAATTATGAAAGAAAATTAATTATTTATTATTAGAAAAGAAATATTGGGAACACGGAACAGATAAAAAGTCTGTATTTCAACCAGGGACTCCAGAACATGGTGACAACTGGCTAGAAAGGGAAGGCAAAGAGGTCAATACTTGGATGGCTTGGCCACACTGAATTGAGTGAGTCAAGAACACTGATCTGAGCTGTGATTCTCTGTTAGATGGTATAACATGAAAGTCTTCATTTTTCAGCAGAGCAGATGGTAAAGTTCCAAACACAAGTAAGGAATGCACACATTGACAAAATTACACTATAGTACATAATGGAAAAGTAGGTTACCCAGCCCTTCTATAAACTGTGATTTAATGGTATCCTTTCTTGTCATTAAATGCAAACATTTTCTCTGGCCACATATCACCTCCTACACTGATCATCATCTACACTGATCACACTGCCTTCATTGCCTACACTTATCCCTGCCTACATTGCCTACACTGATCATTGCCCACATTTATCATTGTCTTAATTGATCATATTGACCCTTGTCTTCATGCATCATTGCCTACACTGATCATTTACTTCACTGATCACTGACTCCATTCATCATCGCCAACATAAATCACTTGCAACATTAATTATGTCTTCCACTGACCATTGCCTACACTGATCTCTGCTTACACCGATTATTGCCTACACCAGTCACAGTGACACTGATCACTGCTAATGTGTGTAATTGCCTACACTAATCAATACCTACATTAATAGATAAATGCCTACATGCATCTTTGTCTACACTAATTTATTATATATATATATATATATATATATATATATATATATATATATATATATATATATATACAATATATAATTGTATAATTATAATGTCTCATAGTTGATAGATGATTATTTTATAATGTTTATTTACAGCTGGATTCAGATCTGCATGCTTGTGTCATTAGTAACATTGCTCCTGAAAAACCTAGAAGAAACTTGAATGTCTATATTTTTCCGCCATTACATATTTCTTGGTTTAATGTTGACCTTGGTTGTTTGGAAACTCTGTTGTCTGGTTCAGTGAGTTTTCCAGTCACATTTTGTTTGGTTTTTAGCACTTTCTACTGATAAAGACTGGTCGAAACATTTAATTGTATTTGTGCACATCTTTTCCATTTCACCTGTTGAATGTTCAACTCCCATTTTATGTTGTTACAAATGCACTTAGATTGTCAGAAAATTAATAAACAACAATAAGAACTGACCTGAATTGATGAGGTCAGTGTGTGCATGAGTTTTACCAAAATTGGGGTCATGACCAGCACAAATACAAACACCAGGCAGGCGATGATCATCATGTTGACAGACAGTTTGATTTCTAGGTTCAGTTTTTCAATCACCTGAACATGGGAGACATGAATGTGTACACTCAACGTCTCATCTCAAAGCAGAAAGTTCATGGACACATTGCCTATGTCATGCCACCATGATATAACTTCAGTGTGTTTATATTTTTTGATTCAGCTTCCTAAAGGAGTGATGTAGTCAGTCTCACACCAGATACGAGACACCAGACAACACCAGACACTAGACACCAGACACCACCAGACACCAGACATATATATATTATAAATTTTTTAATTATTTTTTGGTTTGCAATTTAAGCTTTTTGAAGACAAAACTCAGAATATACAAGAGCAACATTTTAGTAATACTATTATACAATAGTGAGTGTTAAAAGGACAGCGGGAATTATACATAAACTTGAGACATTTCAAAATAATGTTTAAGAATTCTACGAATATTTTGACCAAACAAGATCACAAAGGAAGAACTGAGAAGGAAAACAGAATGTGAATCACTGCAAATGTTATCAAAGTAAGACGATGGAGATGGCTTAGACATGTTTGCAGAATGCTTTGTGATACTCTGGCAAAAACAGCTCTCCGGTGGATAGCAGATGGGAAAAGGAGACGTGGACACCTAAGGAAACCTGGAGAAGGACAATAGAACGGGAATTTAATAAATGTAAACTGACATGGGATACCATGGACAGAAAAGCAGCAGACCGGAAGCAATGGATAACACTTGTGAATGCATTATGTGTCAACAGCAACACGAAGAGGATATAGATATAGAATTTAAGCTTCCTATATACAATTTTTTTTTGGGTCCTGCCTCCCTGCAGTTGTGTAGCAAGATCAGGTAGTAACTGGTTGAACCAGTTTCTTGTCACCCCCCCCCCCCACCCACCCACACACACACAGATGCATGCACACATGCATGCACACACACACATTATAATTTTGGTCAAAATGGACACAAGGCACGATCACTGTTTTGAGCCGTGGCAAATTTTTTTGCTTCTGCCAGACGGTGGCTGTTACATTTTTGCTCCATTTGTAGACTAAAAGGATATAGTTTCGTCAAGAAGCTTCTGAGTTGAGTGTATGGTGTGACACTGTGAGCTGTGGATTTCATTTGGAATGTTTTTCGACTGTAGATTAAGAAAATGGCACAATGCCTGTTGTCACAATATTGGTGGTGCCATTATGTGATTAAAATTGAACGCGTGTGCAACTGCTGATCTGTTGGTGACTTCTGCTACGATCCATGATGAACTGCATTTCTAATGTCGGATTGTTTGTGTTAGCACTTCAGATGGCTACCGTATGCTTTTAATGCATTTGTATGCTAGTGTATATGCTGAGACAGCAGTCTGTCAATTTTTCTACAACGGACTGTGATAAACATTCTGTGTGTTTTCAATGTCACAGGAGCGAAGCAACTATGGGGTGACTCCTTTGCTAAAAAGCAGAAATTAAGATTACCAAGATTACCAAGCACACACACAAGTTTTAATGTTAATTTGTTTAAAAGCTGACTTTTTAATGCCATTCTGTCAGCTCGACACCCCCCCCCCCTCCCCCCCCCACCCCCTATAACATCAGGGTCAGCCTGCAGACACCACAGGCTTAATCCTACAGCAATGTCTTTTTGCCTTGTATTTGCTGTCTGTAAATAATGCAAATTTGTCTGCTCCACCTCTTTTGTTGATATACTGTATACTTTGAATTTGTCTGTTCTTTATAGTTTTTTAAGTGATCTTCTAACACCCATTTCTAGCATTGTGCATAAAACTGAATATTTTTAAAAACAAAATCATAAAACAGTGGTGAAACCCATGAAAACAATAGTCCTAAATACTGTAATGCTTACCATCTTACTGATCTCTTTGTTCATGTTTGACAAAATCTTGAAGTATTTCATGACCACTTGATGAAACTCTTTTGCCTTATCAGGCCCTGAATCCTTGTAATAATTTTGCTACAACAAACGACAGAAAACTGTAAGTGCGTAGTTTAAATTTACAACTTACATTACACTTGTCATGTGCTTGTTGTACCACCTGATTTTTAGGAAAAAGGGCAATAGACTTAAAAGGAGCAAATCATGGCTGGGTCTGGCAGAGGATGACATCATGCAGCAGGTCTGCAGCCTTCCAGATGTTCATCCAAGTGAGGAATGGATACCAGGGTTTAAAGTGCTCAATCTTACATTCTCCTGTGTCGTGACACTTGATAGGAGTTGTCGGGAGCAGAATCCCACTTCTGTCAGTGCTTAGGTATGCGTGCTTATCAGTGACAAGTCAGATAAGGCTGATATGCTGAACTTCACAGACATGTCCGTTATACGAGGACATAAGAGTGCATGGGCATTTACTGCTCCCTCTTTAGGCAGTACAGTTCAAGAAGCCACTGGTGCCTTTTTCATGACTACCAGGAGCATGATGATGGAGGGGATGGCAGTGACACAAGCTTACATGTGGCTAGAATCTCAGGAATATTCTCGCGTGTGTGTGCTGAGTGATTCTTTGAGAATCTGGCGGGTCAAGGCACACTGGTTACACAGACAGTGGATTAGGTCACTGCAATACTCTTCTGTGTGTGCAGTTACCTTCGTATTTATCCTAGGTGTGCAGGTGTTATTGGTAATGAAAGAGCTGATAAATTGGCAGATGTCACATTAATTGAAGATTGCCGGCACACAGAATCATGGCAAATCTTTGTTTTTAAAATTCTCCAAATGCTAAAAGAAACTGTGTGGTAATGCCAGATTTAGATTAGTTTGTTTAATAATGAACACAAAGAAGCAACTTGCAAAGATAGCTCAATAACTACCGTGAACTGGCTAATGTCAAAAAGATTAACTCCATGTTCTTGGAGAAATAATGCTGCGGAAATGCTTATTTGTCCACAGTTTATAAATATAATCAATAAAAAAATATGTTTGAAATACCACATTACAAAAGTATAAACACAACTGTGGTTGCAGTAAATAAAAGTATTGGAAGGGAGCCTTTCTACACGCATGGTGAATCCGGCCTATTGATGCTAGAATCAAATTGAATCTGATCCAACAATTTCTGGTATCTATCAACTTCCATTGTATGGTGCCTTTTTGATGTCTCCATGTCTTCAGTCTATTTGTTTGCATTTAAGTGACGGTTTTGTAATTCTTTGTTACTTCATCACCGGTTGAAGGGGGAGGGGGGAGGGGGGCATCTACTGCCTCCCTAACAAGCATGTTGTAGAAGGAAACTAAGAGATGTATGTTACAATCTTCTTTCTCTTATAATTGTTGATGTTAGTGGTTGTCCAGATATTATAATAAGAGTAAAGCAAGCAGGCATAATTTTTTTCTGCCTTGAGCTGAACAGACACAGAAGAGTAGAATCTGTAAAGCTTTCAGAGACAATTAAACGTTAATTCTGTACAACAGAACTGAGACAATCTTTTACTCTTCCTTACCTTCCAGTGTTGTCTGAAGGTCTCCATGTCTTGAAATGTCTGGCTATTGCTCATATTGAGTCTAGAGAAGAGCTCCTTGGCGTGCGGTGAGAAGATGGTCGCTATATCGATGTACTCTTTAGCTGCAGAATCTTCGTCCTTCAGCATGTTGTAGTAATCCAGTGGTAGGTTGCCAATCTGAATCAGAATCTTTTAGCTAAAGTGTTCCATAAACCTACAGTATTGTTAATCATATTTGATACCTTGCTCATCTTGGCCAACAGTTATAAATGGTATTAATTAGGATTAATAGCAAGCTTTTGTGTCAGTAAGAATAATATTAGCATACCATAGTCTGAGTTTCTGTGTCAGTGATATTTGGCAGCCAGATAGGCAGACTGGTCAGCCAGGAAGGGAGTGAAAAGTAATGAGGGTGTCGTATAAAAAGACAAAATCAGTAATCCAAACCGAGTGTGAACATCGCTTTAGACATAGATAAACATGACCAAGATAAGTAGCACTGATCATCTCACATGTCTATTTGTTTGTAATTTAAGTGCCGGTTGTGTAATTCTTTGTCACAAATTTGTGTGTATGTCAACATGGAGAAAGTGAATAAACACTTGGACCAGGGGCGCTGACACAAAGAAAATACTTGAAAAAGAGGTGGAAGTCCTCAGGTGGTGGAGCAGGTGTTCAATTTCCTTACAGATTTTCAATGAGGGTTTCCAAGAGGTCTATGCCTTGTTTAGTTGTTTAATAATAATAATAATATGCTTGGTAGTAAATAAACAAATGTGTTCCCAATTATTTGCAATCTGTTGTTCCAGTTATTTGCCAAAAAAAAGTCCCCAACTATTGCAAGCTTTTACCCCAGTTATCTGCAAGCTAATTTCCCAATTATTTGCAAGATATTTTCAAGAAAGTCAAGGCGGCTGGTGTAGTGCTGACCACAGCCTTATAAAGTGCGTTTGATCTATTTACATACAGGTCTAGAACCATAAATGTAATGAATCAAAGCCACAACAAGTGTCTTTTATTTACTTTTATTAGGTTTTAGCACACATAATTCATGTGTGCGTATGGAGGGCACTGCATTCAGCTGTTGTTTTTTTTATAGCAGGCTGACATATCAGCTGCTGCCAATCCTCTGGGCTGGGACCTATTTCATGAAAAGGCGGACATGTTGAAGGCTCTCTGGGAAGCTTGGACAGTGCAACAGAACTGACAGAGAATTCTTTTATTGAAAGACGAATTCAACAGTGAAGGGAAAACAGAGGCGGTCTTTTAACCAGGTTGCAAGGGGTAATATTAGCAAGTCAACTTTCTGTTGGCTACTGAAGAAGGGGTTGGAGCACGTGTAGGGAATGTCCTTAGAGCAGTGATGTCATTTCATTCATTCACTCAAATCAAACCTTGGCAGTTTTAAAGTGAATCCATACTCTCAAAATCTTTTAAATGATTATCATCATCAGCTAAAGAATCATTATAGAAATTGATAGAAAGGGCCTAAACTTTAATCAAAGGAAGACTAAAGTAATTGTAATAATTATAATATCAAGGTAGAGAATTGTGCCAAAATGCAGTTACAGAAAATAGTGTTATTTTTGGACAAGTATATAATATCACAGAAATAAAGAAGATACTAAGACTTTCAGTGTTCACGTAAATGAACGTTCTGTGTGCATGTGGGTGCATGTATGTGCTTGAGTGGAGATGGTTGTATATACCTCAAAGAAAGGTATCCCAACTGACAACATGATGCCGACACTTTCCTGGGCTTTGAGCATCATCTTGTAGCTGACGGTGTCTTGCCACACACTTCCGTGAGTCATGTCCTTGGCCAGGTTCATCAGGACATCCAGCAGGCACACTGTGAACTGGCTGGGGATAGAGAAGGGCAGTCAACACTGTGTGGATTCTATACGCAGACAGGTACAGACAGAAACACAAATGAACACAAACAGAGAGACAAACAGACATATACTCATTCATACAGATGTGCACTAATACATACATACACACATACCTTCATACCTACATACATGCATATATACATACATAGGCATACATAATACATACATACATACATTACATACATACATACATACATACATACATACATACATACATACATACATACATTACATACATACATACATACATACATACATACATACATACATACATACATAGACATACAGTACATACATACATACATACATACATACATACATACATACATACACTACATACATACATACATACCTACATACATACATACATACATACATTACATACATACATACATACATACATACATCATACATACAACATCTTACATACATACATACATACATACATACATACAGCTACATACATACATACATACATACATACATACATACATACATACATACATACATACACATACATACATACATACATACATACATACATACACATACATACATACATACATACATACATACATACATACATACATACATACATACATACATACATACATACATACATACATACATACATGTACATACATACATACATACATACATACATACATACATACATACATACATACATACATACATACATACATACATACATACATACATACATACATACATACATACATACATACATACATACATACAGACATACATACATACATGTTACATACATACATATGACATACATACATACATACATACATACATACATACATACATACATACATACATACATACATACATACATACATACATACATACATACATACATACATACATACATACATACATACATACATACATACATACATACATACATACATACATCATACATAACATACATACATACATACATACATACATACATACATACATACATACATACATACATACATACATACATACATACATACATACATACATACATACATACATACATACATACATACATACATACATACATACATACATACATACATACATACATACATACATACATACATACATACATACATACATACATACACATACATACATACATACATACATACATACATACATCATACATACATACATACACATACATACATACATACACATACATACATACATGGCTGGGGATACAGAACATACATACATACATACATACATACATACATACATGTACATTCATACATACATACATACAGGTACAGACATAATACATACATACATACATACACATACATACATACATACATACATACATATACATACATACATACATACATACATACATACATACATACATACATACATACATACATACATACATACATACATACATACATACATACATACATACATACATACATACATACATACATACATACATACATACATACATACATACATACATACATACATACATACATACATACAT